CTCTGTTTAAGTGCCAAAAATTGCAGTCGCACAGCTGTGCAAGTGCCACTCAGGTATATAAAAGTTGATGCAGGATTTCATACAAACATAGAGAAGTAGGGCTGGAAGAGACCTCCAGAGATCATCTAGTCCAACCCCCTGCCTGAGGCAGGATCATTCCTATCCAAACCACCCCATGCAAACCATCATCTAAACTCTACATAAGAGTAGAGTAATTTAGTCCTATGCATCTTTCAGTCTGTCTACACTAGAAGACATGCAAAAACATAAGGTCACTTGCAACAAAGCAGTTTGTTCTTCAATGTTAATGAAATACAAACTCAGCTGTTAACACAATTCTCTATTTTTTCTGTAAATCCAAATTACCTCCAGCCTCTCAGCCACTCTTGTCCTGCATTTCAAACTGAACTGCACACCAGACTCATCCCTGTTACGTGCCAGCTGTGTTCTGCAAGTGCAATCCGTGATCATTCATGCATCCCAACAGATGCTTCCCCCAAAAATTAAGTCCCCGCTCAAACAGACAAGTTGCCAGCATGATCAGAAATTGGGTGTATCCACTCACTAAGGGCTGACCAAACCCTGACATAGAGAATAGGCCTCTTCCTTTGGTTTCTTCCTACCACATACCCGCCACACCCCAAGCTGCACTCGGAAGAGGGGCACCCCAACATGCCTGCCCAAAACCCATTTCCAAGGGGGGGGGGAAGGGAAAAAAAAAAAAAAAAAAAAAAAAGATCCTTTGAACCAAACAAGCCATGTTTCACAAGGCCATGAGCTTTTGTTTTTGGCTTCTAGGCCAGCAGCTGCACAACTTTCTCCCATGCAAAGAGCCAATACTGTACCAACTAAGTTTGGTGCCCGGGTCAAAGCCTGCAGCAGCAACCTACCCTCGCCCCATGTACAGACCCAGGGGGGCACATGGCCCCTCAATGCTTGCCCAGGAGCACACACAGTGGCAGGTGCCACCCTTCCCCCGTCCCTATGCTCCCCAAAAACGAACTGCTCACAGCTCCACACCCCCCCCTTTGCTTCAACACCAGGGGTGGTCACCCTGCTCGCCCCCCTTGCTGCAGCACTGCATAGCCCAGCAGTGCCTCTGGGAAGACCTCAGTGCCCCTGGGAAGACGCTGGCTTGGTGCCCCCATTTTTTCTTAGCCTCCGGAGAAATAACAGGGCCGCAAGAACACCCCGAAAGACCTCACTGCCGCGTGAAAGCTCTGGGGTTATGTCAAGGCCTTTTGGCTAAGGTGCCTGCCTTGAGCAAGGGGCGGAAAGAAGGTCCCTGCCAGCCCCGGGGTGGCCCTCGGCGGAGCAGCGCTGCTCGGGCAGAGGCCGGCGGGGACGGGAGCAGCCCGCCAGGCGCCCCCGGCTCTGCAGCGCGCGGCACTCACCAGGCATGGCCCAGGTGCGCGTGGTCGTACACGGTGGGCCCGCAGCTGTACCTGCAACAGACGCAGCCCGTGAGTTGCGGCAGCGGCGGCGGCACCCCGGCCCGCCCG